TGCTGCGCCTGCCCGCCCTGCGCGCAGTGCCCGCCTCGCTCATCTCGGCGCTCTTCTTCATGCGCCTGGTGGGCAAGACGCCCATCGAGACGCTGATCCGCGACATGCTGCTGTCGGGCAGCTCCTTTAGCTGGCCCTACGGCGCTGGCCAGTGACCCAGCCGGCCGTTCTTAAAGACAGATCTGTGCTTTCTTGCTGCGCCTGCCCGCCCTGCGCGCAGTGCCCGCCTCGCTCATCTCGCAGCTCTTCTTCATGCGCCTGGTGGGCAAGACGCCCATCGAGACGCTGATCCGCGACATGCTGCTGTCGGGCAGCTCCTTTAGCTGGCCCTACGGCGCTGGCCAGTGACCCAGCCGGCCGTTCTTAAAGACAGATGTCTGTGCTTTCTGTTTTTTAAATGATCAGAAACCAAACCAAGACAGATCTTCCGGGCTGGCCTCGTTCTCCTGGCTCTCTGGGCCTGAGCACTCCGGGGCGGCAACAGGCGTCCTGTGTGGGACACTCCGGGGCCATCAGGCTGATAATAAAGACATTTCCGACCTGCGCCGCCTCCCGCAGCGGCTGTTTCCTAGTGCTGGGGCTGAACCCGGGGCCTCCTCCCAAGCTACAGCCCGGCCCTTTTCGCTTCCAGCTCATGTCTAGATTGCCCAGGATGGGCTCGAACTCAGGCTCTCGGCCTCAGCTCACGTCCACATCTGGGCCAGTCCTGCCTGACTGGTCAGGCCCTGTCCCCTGGTCACAGTGGGGGCGACTGCAGGACCCTGACTCAGCTGACCAGGAAGGAGGTGGGGCGGAGACCAGTCCCCCGGTGCCAAGGAGCCCTGCAGCAGGCCACAGCCTAGCCTCGCGCACTTGCACCCTGTACTTGGGTTCCCCTTCTGTGCCAATGCACACAACGGACACTGGGTGTCTCTGACTGGAGGTGGGGCCTGAGGTGCAGAGGGGCCGGGCTGGGGGAGGGGGGATGGCTGTCCGCCCAGGGTGAGCTATGCCACTGTGGGCCCAGGCCTGGTCCTCACTGCCTCGGAGGAGGCCTCTACTCACAGGGTGGGGGCGGGAGG